TTATTATTATTACCTTTAAACAGTTGAGTTTCAATGGAAATTAAAAAAAAAATTGTTAAAACGTTTTTAAAGTTACTTTTTGGGGTTTCAAGAAATCGTCTGTGGGCACTACTATTATTTTGACCGCAGCTGTATATAGCCACGCCTCCTGCATGACCAATACGATCGGATCGATAAACATTATAGCCTTCACAGACAATAGACGAATCACACAGATCAGGTACAAACCACGTTTCAGACACACATATCACATCGACATTAGACTGGGTGAAAAGGAATCTAAACTCATCAATCTTCTTTAACAGACTTTGTGCATTTAAATGAACGATTTTGAGACCATTTTTATAGTTACTAATAGTTTTTAACATGGCACTAGCTATGGAACAAACTTCCTCATCCTGCATTGTTGTTATCAATGGTTATTAGGGGCGCAATCTCAATATTCAAAGTATAAGTTCTTAATTTATCAAAGTAAACTATTTTTAGACCTATCTTAATTAGGAGGATACAATTTTTACGGTTAAGAACGAAAGCTATCAGCTTCGGTTCCAGCCGAAGCGTTAGTGAGAGATGTAGAAAGTGGATCAGGCGAATGATTAACGGACGTGAGCGACGAAAGTTCCTCCATACTCTTGATGCAAAGGACGCCCTCTCTTCGAGCGCAGCGCACGTGCACAAGTCCGCGTCGTGTAAAGACGGCCGTAAGAACTTTATGCTTTTTCATACGCATAGCTTCTTTGAAAATGAGATAATGTTCTTTTAACAATTGCTCATTAACATAAATTATCGCTTCCGAATTGAAACCCAGAAACTGCAAGCTAAGTGGTTTCTTGTGCTCGCGCCTGTACATTCCGATTTGACCAAGCAGCCTGATCTTTTCGCGTGGGTTTAACATTTTTATTATTATTACTGGATCCACATGAGTTTGTTGTGATTTCCTTGCTCGGAAGATTTCAGAAACTTTTGGTGGTGGAGTCAGCTGGAGATTAAAGCATAGCTTGTGATAGAGCGCTTTGAGATCTTCACCTTCGACATAGGGAACGCCATGAACCCTCAGGTCACACGAGCTAGTCTCCCTGCATTGCGTTGCCAGCCTGGACTCCAGTGCACCCAACCTCTCGCCTGCTGCTTGTAGATTTGCCACCTCCCTGTTCAGCGTCTCAACACGCTCACCCATTCGGTCCTTGATGGAGCGAAGATCGGCAACCTCACGCTCCAACGTCAGGACTCGAGCATCCATTTGCTTTACTTCCCCGGCGATAATGTCCAAGCGATCCATAAGGCGGTTGATGCTGCCGCACCGATTATCTCTCACAGAAGGTGCACGCACAACCGCACTTGTTTTTCAACAAGAATTTATTTTCTGATTTACAGAGTAAACTTTGTTTATTAGCACTGTGTTGCAATGTCCGCGTATAGAGCTGGTAGTATATTTGGCGGTTATCGACTTTTTTTGAATTTTATAGATGTAGTTTTCGGTAGAATATCGTTTATTTTATAGAGCGATCAATAAAGCGACTGCACACGAGAGAGAGAGGTATATAGCTTCATGAAACGTTATTTACTTAATTGAAATGGTTTATTTTTGGTCAAATGCTCAAGCAATAACGATATTATATTGCTCAGGTAGAATAATATGAATTTATTAAATAAAGTAATAAATAAATTTCAATTAATTTTGTCAAATAAATTGATATAACTTATTTATAAGATTTGTTTGTGTCCTGTTTTCTGTCCTTTGTTTCCATATGTAAGTTGACCTATCTGATTCCCAGGAAATGTTTTGTTGTAAATTGACTTTATTGTTAAATTATTTATCGCATTGTTCTAGCACGCTGAGGCTGTAATTGAATTCTGGCTGTCAAGTCCAGGTTAAGGAGCTTAATTTAACCTCAATGTGTTGCTTTGGCTTTTATTGCCACCCCGACGTTCTTTATTGTATTTATATGCGACTTACATTAGACCAACTGCAAAACCGAGATCAGAAATGTTTCCAAACGGCGGCAAGATAAACGACTTTGAGTCTGATATAGGACTTGTAGGTTCGCCCATGGATGTCGGTTTCCATTTTGGGGATTTGTAGGGGAATTCCCCTGAAATCTACGTTTGGACAAAGGCAAATGTGTGTCCGTTGTTGTTGTTGCTCCTGCTGCTGCAGTGCGAATCGAATCGATTTGATTTTCCAATCAATTAAACTTTATATAAATTGCGTCTGCGATGCTAAATATAACAACAATCGCACAGCGTAAGCAGCGCCAGCAACAACAAACATTTCCACAAAGCACAACTAGAAAATAACACTAGAGGTATTTGTTCTCTCACTCTGTTTGATTCACCCTCTCTATCCCTCTTTCTCACCCTCTAATTTTCTCTCGGTCTCTCTTCAATGTCTCTATCAACGGATGACTGCACAATCACAAAAAAAGTATGTTCAGTAGGTGATCCCCCTACACTGAAATCAGGGATTATAGACTCTAGACTTTAGAGTCTCTCTCAAAAATATTTCAAGTTTAATAAAGAATTGTTTGCTTACAAAATATTTAGTTATGAAGCATTAAAAATCACTTTAATCTGCATTAAGCTGCATGAAAAACAATAACTTAAAAACTTAATTTTTTTTGTTAGATATTTCTTTGAACTTTAAATTTGAAAAATAACCCTACACCCGAAAGTCAAAACCACAAAAAATCTTAAGATTAAGATATTATTTTATATTAAATCTAAATTATATTATTTTAAAGCCTCAATCTAAATTTAAAAAGAAATCAGCTAGAATAAGAAATTAAGTTTCCAAGATTTTTCACTGTGTAAGTTAGTCAGCTAGTGGGAAGAGTGGGCTAACTGATGATGGTGGATGAGTTCGGTTAGGGGACACTGCATATTGCACGACTTTGACTGCATTTTCGCATTTGGCAAATGTTTTGTGTGTGATTTTGAAATGCAGACGACGATGTTGGGCTGCTGCAGATGACTTGCGACGTGAGCCATTGTTAGAACAGCTTCAGGTGAACAGAGTGAGGGGAGCTAAAGACACGGAAAGTGCATTTGATCAATTGAAAATGGCAACAATCTCGAGTTTTAAAGTACTTGCGCAAAGGCAGGTGGTCTTAATGAACACAATTAGCCTAATAAGTAAACAACAACTTGGGGCAAAGTGAGCGTCAGCGAAGCGACATTAATTCAATTATTAGGGCGAACTTTATAGGCATCACCTGCAAGAGGATGAGGATTCATTAATGCTAATTGAGTACACAGCCCGTGAATATATACATATATATATGTACAATGTGTATATGAATATATTTGTTATGATCCAGGACAACAACACAAGTGTTTTCCAATGTATAGGCAGCAAATTACGTTCTGCAGATGCAAATTTATTTACACGGTGCCTAATTTGGTTGTTTAGTGATAGAGAGGAAGCTTTGAGGCAATCTATTCAATCACTTTGAACCAATAAACTAATAAATTAGTTTCTAATTTGATGGAAGCCGATAATAGTTGGCTGTTCATCAGAGATTCGGTTGATATTCGTAAAGCACTGAAGACGTCGCATTAAGCAATTGAAGTAATGGGATTTTATTGTGCAATGATGGATTTACATTTGCTGCCAACTTAGAAGGCTATAAATAAACTGCAAAATGCAGTGTGCCAATAAACATAAAATCAATGTTGTAAGCAAATAATAAAGTATTAAAAACTCATAACTGTAAGTAATATGAACATTCCTATAAAATAATATTTGTGTACTTCTAAGTACGCTGGTAAAATAAAATTAGTAAATACAAATTTCCAATGAGTTTTCAGTTACTTTAAATATTTAAGTTTAACAACTATAGTTAACTTTAAGATTTTGAACACTGAAAAAAATATTTATTCAATAAATGTTAAAATATTATTACTATTCATTATTATTATAGTATTCTTTTTTTTTTTTTTAAATATTTAAATGATAGTGATTTTTTGTCAACATCCGAGATAAATATGTTTTATGCCGCTGGGAAAACATCATCGACAACAGCCTGACAAAGTTTTGCAATTTTTCTCCATTTTGCTCAATTTTTCTCCTTTCAGGACATTTTGCACTTGGACTAATTTCAAAGAGCCATATATCAGCCCCTCCCCAGCATTACCGCCTTTTGGCGCGCCCACAAAAAAGCCCCTAACGGAAAATTCCACTCTCTCCGCTTGTGAAAAGACACCTGTAGACTGGCAGCTCTCATCCAGCCCACCTCTCCACCCACTCACCCCTTTTCACGGGAAAGCCCTGACAAATGTGCGTCAAGTTACTGGCAACTTATTTTCCACGGCCACGCCCCGTGTTCGCCCACAGTTTGAACCGAAGTTGGGCAAAATATTTTACTTGGTGGCAGCGGAATCTTTTATAATTAATTTGCCACTCTGCCGTCTTTTTTACTCGTGGCGGGTTATTCGTCTAACCAATTTCCCTTTTCCACAGTTGGGTGGCGGCTTCATATTTTACCCATTAGATGACGCCCGCATTTTCCTGAAATAGTTTCAGCACGGACACGTATTTATATTCATGGGCGAGTGTTACGTTTTCTTTGGGCGCTCGCTGTCTTTAAGTTTTTTGATTGCGATTTATGGGGGTCGAAGTTCAGAATAAAATACATATGAATGGAATAAACACAAGATTTGAAATTTCGTGGGAAGGTGAAAGATGTTTTCACAATGTATTACATTTTGGATCCGAAAATATTTCGTCGTATGGTAACAGTTGCCATTAATTTTTTAAAGATAAGAATGATTTTCAATATGTTATTGAAAATAAAAATCGTCCAAGACAGTACTTTTAAAGTAGATGAGTGTCAGAGAAGTAATGTCCGAGAGCGAAAGCTTATTCCAAGCTTCAAAAGATGCCTTCGTCATCTTCTAATTGATGGGTTATCTGATTCATAGCAAATGCTCTATTTATTTTTTGTTTGTTCGCTGACTGATCTTTAAAAAAACACGAAACGTTTTGAAGATCAGTCGTCTATTGACTTGCTTGACAATGAGGTTGTCCCTGCTCGTGATTCTGGTGGAACTTGGATGGAGTTTGGGCCAACATATCCATCATAACGCTCCAGAGGGATTAACTGTTGGGAGCGGAAGTGGAGGTCCCTTTGCTGGTAATGGTCCATTTGTAGACACACTAATTTCTGGAGATAATAATGGATGGCCTATAGCTAATAATCATCAAGGAGGTCTTATTTCTGGAGCCAATGGTGGAAATCCCTTTAATCCCGTTGGCTATCAAGGAAGTAACGATCATCAAGAAAAGTGGTTTAGAGATAGCGGAGGTCGACTGGTTCGAGTCAGTCCAATTGGAGGACCCAACCATCGTGAAGGAGGTCTCATTTCTGGAGCCAATGGTGGAAATCCCTTTAATCCCGTTGGTCATCAAGGAAGCAACGATCATCAAGAAAAGTGGTTTAGAGATAGCGGAGGTCGACTGGTTCGAGTCAATCCAATTGGAGGACCCAACCATCATCAAGCAGGTCTCATTTCTGGATCTAATAGTGGAGGTCCCTTTGGTCATCAAGTAAGTAACGATCCTCTAGAAAGGTGGGTTAGAGAAAGCGAAGGTCGACTGATTCGACCTGTTCCCAGTTATAGTAATGGTCGATATAATCCGCGGCCTGATGTAACTGATCCAATCAGTGTGCCAGTGGGCCAAATTGACTTCGGCAACCCCTTTTTGGAAAGTGGCAGTAACACCAACCTCAAATAGAATTCGAAAACAGTTAGAAATGGAACAGTTATGCAGCTGTAATTAAAATAAAGCGAAATTTTAAAGGCACACTTTACCGATTAAATTCAAAGAAATTAAAGCAACTATTTTGTACTTTAAATTATATTTGCAGATTATTGAATTAAGTTGAAATAATGGTTGAATGCCGCAAGCATCATAAGCTTAAGTAGCACATTAAGTGCTCTCCACCTGAGGCTTATAAAATAAAATTGTGTTCAGTATGCATTGGAGGTACAGGGAAGTACATATATATATTTTTTCCCCACTTGGCGCATTAAGTTGTCGTCACAAGTCATTTTAGCGCCTGCCACGTGAAAAACGTTGGCCAATGTGTGTGTGTGAGTGTGTATATGGGCGTTAAATGAAGCATGTGCCGGTGTCCGTGTGATGGGGTGGTACAGGTGGGTGGTGATGGAGGGGCAAGTGCAACTGCAACTGCCACAATCTTGCCGCTAGCTGGCAGTTTGCGCCAAGCGAAATGAGAAAATGAGAGCAGAGCTGTTCGCAAATGTTGCTGACAGCGTCACTTAGTCCGCTACCTTCATGCCACGGATATATGCCCACAAGCCCACCTGGATATATGGCAAGTACATATAGACACCATAATATATATAGTTTTATACATACGTATCATTGCGAAAAAGTGCAAAAGTGCTTTACGAGCACCTCACCGCATAAATGCTTAATGCACTGCAAATGAGTTGTGACAAATGGCCTGACCATGCATATAATAATATTTTTAGTGCTCCATATACCAGGAATTAGGCCGCCTGTCCCCCACCCCACACTCAAGTACCTTTATCATATAATTTTCTAATTTCTCGGGCTCTGTTCACACTCAACTTTCTCGCTTTTCGATTCTTGGCTGAAAGCGGTCAGCCATCCAGGTCAAGCGCAAGGCTGAGTAAACTAACACAAAACAGTCGGCTGCAGGAGCGGATCGAGGGCCTTAAAGGCCTCTAAGTAAACCTTGTTTTAATAAATATTAATAAATTATAATTATAATGAATACAAAAAAGTACGAGTTGCGCTTATATGAAAATGCCGTTTTCATATAAAAACGTTTAAAAAAAAAAATGAAATCGTTTTAAAAATGCAAAGTAAAATAAATTTGTAGAAACGTTTTACTTTTTAAAATGTTTCACCCCTTATTTTGCACCTATAACTTTTGATAATTTTCTCTGTGTATAAAACAATGTTTCATTTTAAAATGTTCAAAATCTTAAGTTAATAAAAACAGGTTTGCTTTATAATAATATTTAAACTGAACATGTGAAGTCAAACAATTAAATAACCATATTAATACATGAACATTACAGAGATGATTAAGATAATATTTAGTATATTTTCTTCATCAGGGAAACCCTTTCGCCAATTGACTTATTTCAGGCCAATTTCAAGTCGATTAAACCACACCCATCGTCTGCTCAGAAGTGAAAACCTTTCAGCAACACGCAGAAACAGAAACTTCTAAACAACCAGAAGCTTACCAAGGGCAACTTGAACTGGAACTGAGATGGCAAAAAAGTTTTATCTGCTTTCTGTTAGCCCCGAGGGAAAGTTAAATGGTCCAAGAGCCACCTTTTATGCAGTTGTTTATGGACGTGGGAACATCCCCACATATAGAGAGGGTGGTGAATGCTTTCAAACCTGGTCAAATTCTTTGCTGCACTTTTTTGGCGTCCTCGGTTGCTTTGCTCCAATATATGACGGCAATTTTTGGGTGTCACCCCCCTTAAAAACGCTTGATGAGCGGGCAAGAGAACTTTTCAGTATGATTTATACGATCCGGATACTTACTTGCGTATCTGTGACAAAGTGTTTCTTTGATTTACGGGCCAATGGAATAAAATAAAGCCATGCAATGGTATTGAAATACATTGTTGCTGCGGGAAATCATTTTGCCCACAATGCTGTTCATTTGCCTTATGTTTGTTTGTTATTGGAAACTGTACATAAATTCATTAGAAATCTAACTGAAATGAGTTTGTTTATTGTTATCAAAAGATTAATAAATCATGAGCGAATTTATAGAATCATCGATTAGAACAGGAAGAAGTTGTTGCTCTGTTGTTTTCATTTATAATATACGTAACATGTAAACTCTATACAAACAATAAATTTGAAAAAAAACTGGCAGGTCTAATTTTGTATTCATAAATCAATAAACCAGGTATAGGTACTTTAAGACTGGGCTTGTGCTAATCAAATCTTAATAAAAAAACTCCAAACAAACCTGACTAAAGATGACTTTCTCATTTGGCCTGACAAAGCTAGAGTTTTACAAGATAAAAACTTTTTTTTACGTATTTTTTATTGGACAAATATATTGATGGTGTTGTGGCCGTTGGCGACTATGGGTTGGTGACCACCTTTGGAGCCGTTCACATCGATTCTCTGGGAATCCCCCTGTCCGACCACATATTTCTGGTTGTAGTTGTGATAGTCGACTCCATGGTATCGCGCCGTTGTCCAGTAGTACAGAACGTCTCCGGGTTGAAGTTGTTGGTTCCGGTTACGATATGTCCAGCGTCCATTTCGGGAACTCACTATATCGGCCGCCCACGTCTGATCGCTCAGATCATCCATCTCCTCGTTGACCTTGCCGTGAAAGGCAAATAGAGAAATACCGGGTTCGTTGGGGATGGAGACCTCGAAACCCTTCGGCGAGTTGACCTTGACGGTGGCCTTGGGCACATCGTAGCAAAGGCTACCGCCTACGGAAATAGCGACTAGGAGCAGATAGACTGGCAACTTTGAGGTTGGCGACGTCATGATGGTAACTGGATTGTGTCGGGAACTGAGACACGGCTTTTGTAGCCCGCAATCTAAAGCTTATCTCGTCTGGTTGGGACTTGTTGTTTGTCCCCGGTAAGCTGCAAATTTCCCGCCGGTGCATCCCCCCGCATCCCGATTATTCAAAACAGAGCCCGAAAGTAAGCAATCAAAATATTTCAACAGCAATATTTCTTAAACAAAAAACCGAGAGCGGATGAATAAGACGAGCTTTTAACTTTGTGCGTTTGAATTGGGGAGAGAACTTTTGAAACGGAATAGACCGGAAATCTTAGTTCTACGAATGAAAACTAAGATGTTAATATTAGGGGCTGTCCATATATTACGTAATCACAATTTTGGTGATTTTTGACCCCCTCCCCCTCACGTAATCATTTCTTCATACAAAAAAAAATTTTTTTGCACTAGCGTAATCATTTGGTTGACCCCCTCCCCCCACCTAGGTGATTACGTAATATATGGACAGACCCTTAGTTAAATTGTGCAGTTCAAAAATATAAAGTGTTCATAAATACATTTTCTAGATCATAGAACTTAAAAATTTGTGTGTATCACGTAGGGGAGAGTGGGGGAATTTCGTCACAGGGGCAATTTCGTCACCTGCAATATCTCGGAATCCATAAGTCGTAAAAATATATAATTTTTTTGTTTTAGTCCTTCAAGACGGCCAGACACAACCAATGCATTTGTTTTGCACAGAAGGCCAAGATAATTAAGCTATAATATTAAATGTGTTTTAACAGTTCAAAAGCTACATTCAGTTCTCGACGAAATTTTTTCTGTATGCCACAATTCAAAAGGAATAAGATACACGATTTTTTATATAATACACAGTGCTATAATGTGCATTTTTGCGTCAGTGATTTTTAACTTCGCGCCTAAAAATAATTATTTCTAAAAAAGTACTGTCTGGGGAAATTTCGCCACCCTACGCTAAGGGTAAATTCGCACCTATTTTAAATACATATTTTTATATTTGACGAGCTGGCTAACCAACAGACTACCAGCAGCAGCAACAAATATAGGACATCAACAAAAATGGTACGCTTGATCAGTGTAGCATATTTACAGGCGTTAAACTCCCTACATTTTTCAGGTGACGAAATTGCCCCGGTGGTGTGGTGATTTTACCCCCCTGTGTGGCGAGATTGCCCCAGTATATTGGTTTTACATTTTATTTTTTTATAAATCACCAAGGTAATTAAAAAATAGGGGAATGTCACATTTTAAAGCTTGGTGCTAACCGCATTCAACAATAAAAATAGAAATATGATAACGTGTCTCAAGATGGACAAAAAATAGCTTTGAAAAAATGCTGACGAAATTCCCCCACTCTCCCCTACTCGACTATAGAGGTTTTTCTTGTTTTTATTATAAACTTTGATTTCTTTAATGAGAAAAAAAATTAGTTTATAATTTTTTTGTAAGTTTTTAAAAATTTGTATGTACTATAGTTCTTTGCAAAAGCAAGTGAGAGTGGTACATTAAAAAATAAATTAAATACTTGAACCGCCCAAACGTAAATACAGATTTTATAACCACCATCATAACACTTAAGATTAAGCTTTAATTTCAGATCCACATAACAATAAATTCAGTACATTAAGATTTTTGCTAGTACCTCTTAAAACCAAGCTGACTCAAGAGCTAATATTGACTATGGCAGACTTTCTGATTTGGATTTCCTTAATTAGCCGGAGAAAAAAATTTTTGTGGCCGTTGGAAAAAGTAGGCTGAGGTCCACCGTTGGACTCGTTTTCGTCTATTCGTTCTAAATCTCTATGGCCAACAACGTATTCCTGGTTGTAGTTGTGGTAGTCGACTCCATGGTATCGTGCCGTTGTCCAATAATACAGAACGTCTCCGGTTTGAAGTCGTTGGTTCCGGTTGCGATATGTCCAGCGTCCATTTCGGGGATTCACTATATCCGCTGCCCACGTCTGATCGCTCAGATCATATATCTCCTCGTTGACCTTTCCATGAAAAGCGAACAGGGAAATACCGGGCTCGTCGGGAATGGAGACCTCAAAACCTATTGGCGAAATGACCTTCACGGTGGCCTTGGGCACATCGTAGGATAGACTACCGCCCACGGAAATTGCGACGAGGAGCAGATAGACCGACAACTTTGGGCTACGCGACATCATAATGGTTACTGGATTGTGCTGCGCACTGAGACACGGCTTTTGTAGCCCGCCGTTTAATATTATCTCGTCTGGTTGGGACTTTTTTTTTGTCCACGTTAGGCTGTAAATTTGATGCTGATGCATTCCCCCTCGGCTCGAAAATTCAACACCTAACCGAACGTAAGCTATCAAGGTATTTGCTCAGCCATATTTCTACAAAATTAGAGCGGATAAAAAAAGATAAACAATTAAGTATAACATACACTTAACAAATTAATGGATTTCGTAATGCTTCAATATCCGAATATGATAATAATTATTAGAATTATATTATTATTGAATTATAAAATTAGATTGTAAGCGAAAAAATAAAATTAAATGCTTTCAACTTTCATAGTTTATTTAAATTTTAAACCTAGAATTTTTAAACTTAATGAAGGTTGTATAGTTTATAAATAGAGCAAATGTATTGGACGTCTTTAGGATAATGCAAAATGCGCACAATTTCCGCTGCCCCGCCCACTGTGGGCATTCGCCGCAGAATTCGGCGGCGTGCCCGAAAATATGCAATACAAATATTTGCATAGCAATATTTCTTAAGAACGGAAACGGGTTGATAAAGAAGCGCTTTAAGCTACAACCACACCACATGAGTGCGGTTTTCTTTGGGACGACGACTCCTTTGTACCATGAAACTGTATATGCACATGTATATAAATATATGCAGATGATCCGCCCGCCTTGTTGGCCACACAGCCATCTTGCCGCATTGTTGCCGGTCCTGTTTTACTTTTAGCTGCAAGTGTGTAAGTACTTGCCATGCACCTAAACACAGGCTTGGCATCCTTCGTCGGCATTCGCGTCGCAGACAAAGGAAGAGGAGGTCCTTCTGTTGGGAGATACTTAGACAGTCAATTGCTGTCAGTGGCCCAAAGTCAGGGTGCAATGTTAACCATGTTGCCACTGAGCAGGCGGTTTAGGCAGTGGCAGTGAGTGTATGGTGCTCAACGCATAGATACTAACTATGCTTACATTATTAGACGAAGTTTGTAAACTAATTTCAAGTCGTTATTGCAACAGTTATCATTCTGGAATGTAATAGAAGTTTGTAATCACTCAACGGTGTCAGAAACTTTCTAGGTTTCTCTTAACGATTCGAGATAGTTTAATAGAAGTGTATCATTATACGTTGGAAAATTATTGAAAATTTTATAATTTACTTTTAGGCATTCGCGGAATCACGGAGGATTTGGTGAATAAATTTTCCACATTCGACGGAAAATAAAGGGAAAAAACTGTGGAATTCAAGAAGTATGCAAAAACAAACTTGTTTTAAAAATCTCTTTCTACGCCACTTTTTGTGGGTATTACATTTTTGAAAGCAGAGCAGAGAGACTAGACAAAAAATATTATGACCTATAAGAACATTTAAGTAAATACAAATCCAGCTAAATATTTATGCAAAATTGGTGTGTTGGGAATTTTATTGCCAACATTGAATCTATATTTTGTTTATTTTGGAAATTTTTTTTTTAACGAAATCTGTTTATAGTAAAAGAGAGGTTCCCAACAATTTAATCTAGTTTATCTGCACTCTGAAGCACTCTTCTTCGCGTTTCCCGTGAGCGCACTTAAAGCGGGTTATGTCCCTGAACCCAGCCTAACCAGATGGTAGTTAATTCCTAATTGCCCCGCTATTTGTCAAACAAAATGATTCAGCTAACCAACTCGGCCAGCCAGCTCTCGCCGGACTGACAATTGTCCCAGAAACAACATTAAAACACAAAAGCGCAATATCAACTTTTGGCCACCCCCGAAAACAACGGAAAAAAATGAGGATGGTGATGTTGGGTCGGGGGTAGAACAAGCAAAGTCAAACCGCAGCAAACCGAAACTAAATAGCCGAACATTTATACAAGCAATCTATCCGGAGCTGGCCGCTCAATCTATTCATTCAGTCATTCAGTGGACGGCCCCGTCCACTCACTCGGTCATTCGTTCATTCGTATTCGTTCAGCTGTCCATCGCAATGCGGGTCGCGATGCCGGGGTCATCTATCCTCCAAATGTTTGCTGATGTTGCGCCCAAGCGGCTGGCGCTGATTTATAAGCTGCATGCCGCTGACCACTTGATTGCGTATCTGTATCAGTGTCCCGCTTTCACTCTTTCCCTCTCTCTACGTATGTGTGTAATTTATTTACGTTAACACGCGCTAGCTGGCCCAAACCAAACCATGGCAAACACCCGAAAAGCGAGCCGGTAGAGGATGAAGAGCAATTTTCATTTATTTTAAATGGCATAGAAAATTGCAAACTGACATTTTTCTGGCCCAAGTGCTCAGCTTTGGTTTTGGCCCTTTTCCATCTTTTCCATCGGTTTCCCAATGGCTTTGTGCACACAGCCGGAAATTTGTGTAGTTGTGTAGTTTGGCTGTTTGGTAGTTAGATGCCGGGCCAGGTCCCAGACTGATTACCATGAAATTACATTGTTTCGCACTTAAAACATGCCGGCCAGTGTAAATGTGGGCCAAAAGCACTGTCTCTTTCCCTTTCTCCCACTCCCATTTCGGGCTTAATTAAGTGGCCTGTTTTTATCTGTGGCAAACATTTCTTTACCTCACCACCAGTTGGAAACCATACAGCCACCACCCCAACAGCATTGAATTTAATTGCTTGCATTTATTGTTAATTGATTTTATTTTTAGCAGTTTAGCATGGAGAGGTTTTTTCGGACAGCCAGGTGCTTGGCTATTTATTCGGGCGTGATTTAATTTATTTGGTATTTGCCTAAATTGAATGAAAATTGATTTTAAACTTAATCAAATTTTTTGAAACTGTCAATGATGCGTGTCAGAAGCCAACGGCAACAGAGAAAAAAGGGTCTTTGCTGCTGGAATTTCATTCAGCCGTTGAGCATAATTCAATCAGCGGGTTGTTACAATATTTTTCTGAATAATTTGGTGTACATGTAATGCTTTTTGTGATGGATCAACTTGTCGCAAATGCAAAATTTAATATTCGTAAAAGTCACCAATAAGCCCTTGGCAATGATGTTATGCGGGAGTATTCTTTTGAATTAATCAAAACCATGACTTATTTCTAATTGATTTTTGGTATCATAATAAAATTGATCAGTGCAAAATGTGGTTATTTCATATGGGCATATTTTATTTTTTTGCTTTTGTAATACGTACCTTTTAAAAAAATTTGAAAATTTAGCCCATAATTAATTAATTAAACAGTAATAATAATATTCAATACTTTCACTTTTCCCGTAATTTTCTTTCAGCCTTGCCATTACTAATATTGGCTTTTAGTGCGCTCTTAGCTATAACTTTAGGATTGTGTGTTTCTCCCGATAGCTTCCTTATGCTATCCTCATTGGTTGCTTTCGACGCCGTCTTTGCTTATCCATCTCAATTTCCCATAATCAATTTTACTGAGCTCCTGGAAAAGCAAACACCTTGGCACTCCGTCGTCCATGTTCGTGTATATCTGGAGAGCAAGCAATAAGCTAAGCCAAGATCTATCCAAGCATACACCTGTCATGGCTCACACTCGGTCCCCATCCGATGCTCCACCTATGTGTGCTCCCATTTTACGAACCACAACCACTTGGCATGTAGCTGCAGCTTTACACATAAGTTCAGTTGCTCAAACATGGGGACAGTGTGCCTCAGAGCCCACACCTCGGTATCCAGAACCACCCAAGGCTCCTTTTGCCATTGCGCACATATTTAAGGAGCAAACGTTTATCTAAGTTGTACCGTTGCGGTTTCCGTTGACATTCAAATGCCGAAGCACCTGTCGCCCAGTCGAGGGAACCCGGTGACTGCGACTCGAAGATGTTCCAATCAGGACAACCGGGATGGGATGCACTATGGGGCATTTGACCACTTTGGTTGGCCAAAACCCATTTTTTAAAAGTCGTTAAAACAAAAATGTTGTTAGGATGTTAACAAAAACCATTAACAATGTTACGTTTACAGAAACCGATAGAGGTCGCCCTGTTAAGGGGAGCGTAAACACGTCGATAGCATTATCGAGCGTGAATTGACTTTTGCTGCAGTTTTAAAGTGCTTTAAATTGAGTTTTAGGCAATCTAATAAACTTTTGGATTGGATTTAAAGGATTATGCTATTACTAAGTATTTGTGTGGTTCGACACAAAAGAGACGGTTTTCTACAAATGAGTGTTAAAGGGGGTCAACAAGTACATTTAAGAAAACTAATTTCAAAGGCAACAAAGAGTCCACGGAGTCCACCACCATGGGTTAGATTATTAATGTTTTAAATTATAGGTCAGAATCCCACTATGCCACTTTCGTAATTTAATTTTAACCAAACCCAAATCACAAACCCACGTTGCACGGTGGCAAGGAAGGACTCGTGACTTAAATTATTACAAAATATAGTAGAAATACTAGCTTGTAATACAACTAGACTAGCGGCTTAAAACGAATCCCACAACTGAACAAAGTCGACAAAGTAAAGTAAATCTGCCCCTTTTTTAAAACTGGGTATAGTCGTCCGATTGTATAAAACTGTAATATTGTTTATAAACTACATAATGCTATTCTAAAGTAGTCATTACTCAAAAACAGCAAAGTTAATTGATCGTTCAGGCAGCAAGATATAGTTTCCGATCCGAGATTACATATAAAACGGAAGCACAAAGTTCACAACAACCGAGTAAATTCGCCAACAAAGGGCACCCCGTGGGTGGGATGGTATGGGGAGTTACGATGGGCGTGGTGCTGGTATCCACTTCCGATTTCACACGCACACGAACAGGGGAATGAGGTCTAGATATTGCGAGGGTGGGTTGTACAGTATATTCTTTAAGGATTTGGATTTTGTGTTCATATAATTCATCGAATAAAAGAGTTTGGCATTTTAAAGTCTCACATTTTTTATTATTGGTGTTAGCTCGAACTGTAAAAGTTAATTTGTATACTTTCTTGAAAGTTGTTCGACATATAAATATGTATAAGTAGTACAAGTAGATCAATTGAAAATTTATTTCGTTATTATTT